GTATACGGATAAAATCTAGAAATAATTCCACCTACCTCCATCTTTGTCTTTTCACTTGTGTACCTTGTCTTGTAATACACAGTGAAATCTCATTTTTTCTCTCTCGCTTGAACAGTTAAGAACGTTGCTGCGATAGCAGTTATGAAAGCAGTGACATTCAGTATTTCATTTACATTAAATATTTCGAATGTAAATTCTGTCTCGACGATGATTACCTATGCCATTGTTAAGTAGTCATAATTTTTAGTGATTTATTCAAGCAGCGTAATTTTTTGCTATTGGATGTCGATATTTTTTCAAATAAATTTAGCGAAAGGTCCGATACCATTAAACCAGTGAAAGCTGAGAGATTTTTACAATACAGGTGCTAAAGTTTAACTTATAATTTTCAAGGGAGAAGTGGAAGAAATAGCTCTCATGAAGCCGAAAGCTCTGACGGAAGGAGACGAAGGTATGCTAGAGTACCTGGAAGACATAATTGGATCATCGAGGCTGAAGGTGTTTATCGATAAACTGGACGAGAAACTTGAACAACTGAATGACGTTTGCACGACGAAGGTTCGCATGCATTTATTTTCGTGTAATTTACTCTGTAGTGTTTATTCGTCATCGCACAAACAAACATACGACATAGTACAATGGACGACCTTGCATATCCTGGATCTGGACGATCTCGAAGACAGACAACAAGATGGCCACCAGATAAACATTGTAACAGTATTTTTTATGCCCTCACTAAATGTAGTATCGTTTTTTCTGCATTGCAATAGAATTACAATAGAATTTTTGATACTCTCTCAACTTTGCTATTAGATTTCAGGGCTAGGCGACTGCCTGTTTATCAAATATTCTGCAAGTGTTGAATCTTCATGAGCTGCCAAACTAATGCGTGTGAACAATGTGTTTGCTGTTTGCCCTGTTTTTTCCGCACGCTGATTAATTGTTGTAACTGTTATACTCTATTAGCTGTTGCTACTTGCTTGGGTGTTCATAACACGACGAGGTGCGGATTCCATTCATAACGCAGATCTGCAGGCCAGATTTATCTTTGAGTCTAATACCTTATCTCTAATCAAAGAGTCAGAGTTGACGGTATCGTTCTATTTTTCTTGAACGAACAAGAAGTTGCAAATATTTGATTACCGCAAAATTAATTTCATTAATAATGGTCTCAGGTAAGGGCTACCTTCAAAGAAGGCATTTCTCACGAGGCCCTGTGCTACTTGTCAGCATCTGTCATCAGTTTTTTTTCGATGGTCGCATAGGGAACTGTGTCTTGCAGTGTCTCCAACGTCTGCGATCCTGCGCTAGCGTTTGAGTTTTGGTTAAGTCCTTTGATTCCGGACAATTAGTAGGTCCGTTCTAACCGAACCAACTCACCCTCTGTGCCAATGTTTTCGACGGTGCCTTTTTAGGCGTCTCACACAAGATCCGTGTACGTTCGTTGGTAGGTGGTGCTCTGAGGTTTGTCGAAGCTTAGTCGTTGACATTTATAGTCCAACGGTTGATCGTTTTAAAGAAAGAAGAACTCACTTTGGACTAACTCTAGTCAGCCTGATTGGATGCACATTTTAGTAGCTTGTTTTGTTGTTTTGTAATTGATCATATGTTATATTTAGGCGTTGGCAATTTATTTTGTACCTTAGGGTTCAGTTAAGTAAATTTGAGTGACTGACTGACCTACAAGTATTTTAGCCATCCTGAGTACTTAGGAAGTTGAAGAGTGTAAAAATAAAGTCAGATTCTTTTCTATGACTTCTGTTCATTATAGCTCAATCGCGTTCGAGTCGTCGAAAACGAAATGCGAGATATGGAGGAGCGCAAGAACGAGGCAATTAATTTTCTGCGTAAGGAAAATGATGTCGTTCGCAAAAAGAACATTCTTTTCCATTGCCATCTGTAAGGCTCCAACGATAGTCGTTGTTTTTGGCCTTTTCTTTAGTATTGTTTTGCTGTATTTAGATATAACGCGAACAATGAATACGAAACTGTCTTGAAGAAAAGGGACGAAGCGGCAGCAGCATTAGAAGAAAGTAAAAAACATCTTGCTGAGTTTCACCAAACGTTAGCACAATTCAAAAAGGACATCGATAATCTCATAAAGTAACCTTTTGTTTTATGTGTGCAGTTATTTATGATGTTATGTTAAAACCTGCTAATTATAATAAATCAATACCCTTTTGTAGATGTTTAATTTTTCACTGACGTTATTAGATACTTTTTTCGATTCATTTCCCGCCTTTTGTTTGTACCTCGTGATGTAATCTGAAATAGGAAGAGAAAGTTTCTTAGCGTTGTGATGTCGGTCTCCTCTACCATTCTACGATTGGTCTTACGTGAAGATCTTTTTCATTGAGTTTACAGTTCGACAGTGATTTGTGTTCAAATGTTGTAAGCTCTGAGTGTACTAGTTTAATGATAATGTTTAGAGCAACGAATTAAGTGTGGAGTAACGTTAACTGTTTCCTCGCCCACAAAATGGAACTCAGTTATCAATTTTGGAAGAATGGAGACAGATTGACTCAATCAGAGTTTGAATTCACGGTATTTCTACTTATTGCTATGCCCAGCCGAATTATCCTGGTTTAAACTTGGATAGCGCTGTTGATAAACATGAAAGCGACTGTAAAATCAAAGTAAAGTAAGGTATTCACTATCCCCTAAAAGGCTTGGAATAAATTTGGAAGCGGGCAAGTAAAAATATTAATCAAGTAGTTTGTTGCGTTTGAAAGCAAATCTGGTTGACATGGGGGAAAGGACTACCAGTTTGGCCGTAGTCTCCATTTTCTCACGCCTGAAACTGTCTACACATGTAAAGGATGAAGAGCGGCTGACACCAGTTTGTTCGTTAATTTGATGATTAGCTGGCTGAACTGGAGAACTGTTGGATTATAAATCCATGCAGCTGCTTTTTGCGTTTTATTATTTCTGCCCCTTCCATTTCCTGAACGTTTCAGCGTGATAAGACTAATGCCTGAATAATTCACTTGTGTATTATTCGTCGTAATTTAGAACCAGAGATCAAAAAATCGCTGAAGCTGATAAAGCAAAGAAAGAATTTGACGCCCTTGAGAACAAAGACGTGGTCTGCCGCGAAAATCTGAAACGTTTTCGGGGTCGGAAAAAGAAACTGAAGACCTCCTTGGAAGTCGAGAGGAGAAAGGTAACGTTTGCAATCGAATTGACTGTTTTAGATGAAACGCTGCCCATGGTACCCATATGACGAATTAGGCTGCTTCGCTAAAAACTACCCTTGGTCGCGTACAGCTGCAGCGTACCTCTAGGCTAAAATTAGTTTCAACAATTGGAAGAACAGTGACATCGGGCTCTTCGAAGGTTGTCGAAGAGACGAAGGCTAGTTTGAGGTTAAGATTGGACGTCTACACTTCAAAGGATTGACAGAGATCAATTCTGAGGTGTGAGTGTTTATTATTCACAGAAGAGTTAAGAACAACGTAGTACAAGTGGTCAGCATCTTAGAAAGTTGAAAACTGGTTCTGATTATCAATTAAATGTAATCGCCATCCCTTCCGAATTACCGTAGAGAAGGGTGTGAAGCGAGAAACGCCATCTTCCACAAACTCTTCGTGCCTGTTTAGAAAGAAGAATGTGATCGACACTGGTGAACGGCTCGGCCACCGAAGTTTCGCTGATAAAGTGGTGCTGTTTGCGGAAAGCGCCCATCAGTTACGAGACATGCTGCAAGAGTTTGGGAGAGATGGTGCTGAAGTCGAACCGCGATCGAAGAATCAATTGGTTGCTAATAAAAATACTGCGGTCTGCCACCCTGTAAGAGGCTCAGGTAATATTAAGCGGCGCAAAGTTCGAAGAAGTTGATCAAGATGTATTTACCTGGGCCAAAAAATCAGATCAGCACAGCATTATCAAGGTAGAGAGATTCAATAGAGAAAGAGAGCTGGTTGGTGCTTATTCCATTCCATGCAGGAAATCCTCAGCAACATCAAGAAAGCAGTCTGCGCTCATTTTTTCAATTCTACCGTCCCCTGCTGGCATGTTGTATATCTGTGAGACGTGGTCGCTCACTGTCTGTCCAGAAATGTCACCTCGCGACTACATCTCTAACAAGATGATCAAATAACAGACGCGAGAGAAGGACGCCACCATCGCAAACGGAACGAACAGAGTGTGCTTGGTGGAGAACGTAGCTATGCCCGCTAATGGGAGGTGGTCGCAATGATCATTAGTTGATACCCTCACGGATGGACTAGGCCATTTAGTCGCCCGCCACGGCGGTGGGAAGATTTCGCTTGGAGCCAGGAAGGCAGTGCTTGGAGGTAGAAAGCTCGAAACAGCGAGAAATGGCTGGCATGTTGCGGTCATCGCGATTCGTCGCTGATTACCAATCGATATAATGATGATCTCCAAGTCATACAGGAATACGTACGAATGTTACGTCATGCAGACGAATAGGTAGAAGAATTTTTTGATGAAGTAGAGCAATTACAAGACGGAAAGAGCCATTGTATGTTCATCATTTAAGACGTACAAGTATTACTGTCATTCTGTACACGTATCCCTTCATTTTGATGGGCATCTTCTTATCGCACAGAACGCCGCTAAACTCTCTCCACTTAAGCCACGTTTTTCTTCGAGCAGTTTCTTAATTCTCTGCTGATTTCCCTGATGTATTCCTGGAGGGGACCTGTAATGCCAGTAATAAAATTAGGCAATCAAGGAACCGAGATGAGTATTGGTTAGTGGATCAGGTTTATCTCGGTTAGTGATTATAAAGTTTTAAATTTCTTTGAACAAGCAACGAGCTGTTTACAGGTGAATTAGAACCGACGTAATTCTACGCATAACTTAGGCTACATAAAGGCCAAAATTTTTCAAAACAGACATCATGAATACGAATGTAGACTTTATTGATGACACCATACACCCAGCTGAGCATTTGCATTTCTACTAAGTTCTGCCACATCCTCTTGTATATAGGTAATGGTTAATTTATTGTTGCTTGCTGTTGTTGACGAAGGTAATATTATGGATTCATTAGGTGGAGGAGTTGAAGCAGGAGCCAGCACGGGTTGAAACTCAAATCAACGATTTGCGACTTAAGCTGGGACCGCTTGAGAAGAAACGTGATAAGCTTCAGACTTTGGTCGATGATGGAATGAAGCAAGTGAAAAAAGAAACGGAAGTACGTACTTCTATTTTCGTTCACTGTTCAAAGACTTTTAACGCTTCCTACTTTTTTATTACCGTTTTAGGATCTTCGGAAAGAAGCTGACGTTTTCGAGGGCAAAATGCTCGGTATGGAAAAAGAAGTAAACGAAGCAAACTCGAGGGTAAACAATAATCATTAATTGCGTGTACTGTCTAATTTTTTCTTACCATCTATGAACTGTCGTCAGACTGTATGCATTCTTGCTACAAAAGTCTGTGACGTCAGTGAACAACGTCGATAGGTCTGGTCTTTTTGGAATAGAGAGGATTTGTGCTGCTTCAATGGCTCTAGGCAGTGAATGAATCATGAAACTTTAATATGAAACTTGCGTAGTTATTGAAGACAATCGTACGAAGATGAGCATAAAGTTTCATGCTTCAGTTCCCATGAAATTCTAATGGTCGTGTTCAGAAAATATGGCAATGTTGGAAGAGACCAGCACCATCATTTAAATTATATAGAATTAGATAAAAGTATTGTAAATCATGAAATTATACGAGAGATCGACATCTATCCTTCGTTTAGTTCTTTGATTAAAGTAAATTTAATTTGTAATTCTCCAAGACACTTTTGCTGTTAAAATCTTTTGTATCATTTTCTTTTGTATTTGCATTTGTACCCTGAC